ACAAGGTGCTTTTCTATAAGTCTTCCTACCAATATGACCAAGTTGCGAAAACAAGGTCAAACAACTTCTATATTTCGTGAAATTCAGTAGATCTGATGAAAGCGTTGTATTCACACTCTTTTATTTGAGGTGAATTTTCCCACAATCACATTAGTTACCCTCATGGTTCCAGTGGAATTTACATCGCCTTGTCTCCCAAGAGGCATTCTCAGCTTGAGCGAACCGCAATTTTGGGCTCATTTAAGTCCCATCAGCCGCCCACCGGATCGGCCTATCTTTTATAAGGTCTGCACACATCGTTGTGGGAAAATTCGTGGTTCAAAGTAATTAGAAAAGAGGGTGACCTCTTCTTGGTCATACAGTTCTAGTAATCCCTCTTTTGCCAATTACTCCAATTTCCGAGTGCCTAACTTAATGAGATTTTTGACTCTCCCTCTTTCTCTCTCTCTCTTTCTTTCTTTGTGTCTGCATATTTGTGCGTGTGCATGTGTGTGTGCGTTTCATCATTGATGACCCACTCTGATGCTAACTTTTTTAGGGGAGACGAGGGCTTCGCAAATTTTAATCGGAATTTAAAGAGATTGCCTCGAGGACAGCATCAGCGAGACTATTCCGGCGACAGACTAAGCGGAAGTTGCATGCAGCTTCAAATCCCCTTGCCGGACACTTTCACTCGAGATGGAAATACGTCCACTAGCAGATCGTGATAAAGAGCCCGACTCGGTTTGGGCAACTTTGGAGGACTTCCACATTGAAATGAAGCCACATCGTCGTCTAAAACGGTCTTCCGTCCGAGGGTGGCTAGGCGTTCGACCCCGCCCCGGACTCGCCAGCATAATAGCGGAATTGGAATCCGAGCCACACAAACATAAAGACCAAAATGTTGTGGCATCTATTTTGGTCGCAGTCTCCTTTCCATGCCTACAAGTGGTCTGACCTCGTTTTCGCAACTTACTCCTGTTGTCAGGGCGACCGCTGACTTGGTATATTCCCAAAAGCTTGCCAATCTCAGCACCAAGTTACAGTGCGTCAAAGAGTCAAGTTAGAGGCGTGATGCTTAATTATAGCATTGTGTGAGTATTCCATCAACTTTCTGGCGACTTTATTTATCCCCTTGACGAGTTGTGAAAACGAGGCAAGTCCACTTCTATACATGAGCCACAATTCATTAGGATTCCCATCTGCCGGCGTTTGCATCCTCCCGGGAGGTCAAGACTGGCTCCTCATCTTCCTCGAGACGTGGCGCTATTTTGAACTCTCCTCTCAACTGGGATCAACCCTCGGATCGCACTTTCAAGCGAAATAAACTGCCATCCAAGAGACTCCGCAAAGGTCGACTCTTCTCGACCAAACCTATTAACACTTGTACGGCCTATTCTTCCTCAGTAAGAGTGTGTGTTTGTGGCTGTATGCTTGTCGAATGCTGATGGCTGGTGCTGGCCGGCCTGTTTGGCGCGATTGCAGCCGCCCGGTTCGTGACCCTTTCCATCTTCAGAAGCCCCCTCGCGGCATTCGGGCTCACCGGGCGCGGACGAAGCTGACTAGAGCCCGGTTGACTGACATTTCTGCGCTCTTCCTCGCTGCTGGCCAGACCCCTCGTCTCCTCTGCCTGGCCAGCCATTCGCCCTACCACCTCGTCTACGTCGCCGTCGCCGTTGCCGTTGCTGTCACCGTCGCCGTCGTCATGAATCTGCTCGTCGTTTGACACATCCACGGCCAGCTCGTGCATCAGTTCGGCGGCTGCCTGGCCCGAAGGGTCCCGTGGGCTGGCCGAGACCACGGCAATCCGGCATCCATTGGGCAGGCGAATCACACGGTTGTCATGGTCCCCGACTTTGCTAGACTCGACACTTGCCCCGAGCAGCCGACTTCCCGTGAGGCGGTCGAATACGTCGTCTCGACGTAGTAGAAATCGCGCCGATCCCGAGCCGGCCACCGCCACCGACTTTCCGTCGGGCGTCTTCACGACGACGTCCGAGAGACTGAGTGCCTTTGGGCCGATTGGCAACGCTTCTCCCCTCCACAGGTCATACACTCTCGGCCGTCCCTCCAACGGATGCACACGCACAGTGTACCGTCCGCCTGAGGCCAGGCCCAGCGGTACCGGCCGCTGCCCGCGCTCGTCCACGCCGAACTCCCATTCCGCCCAGCCGCGGTAGCCCCGCATCGCGTCTCCACTTTGCACGTCGTACATCGTCCCGTTATGCAGTCGGTAGCGCGCGAAACCGAGCCTCGGCGACACTGCAACCAACAACGACGGCGACGGCAGTTGCGCCATCTCCTCGGGGAGGAGGAGAGCGTCGGGCATGAGGAGGCCGGTGAAGGTGTCGCAGAGGACGGCGGACTCATCGGCTTCCGGCGTCGGAGGGAGGCGTCGAACGGCGAATCTGCCCTCCCAGGCTCTTGCCAGACAGCGCAGGCTGCCATTGGTCAGACGAAACAGTTGTCGTCTCGCCATCAGCTCGTCCACTCCGGAGACCCGTTCACCAGATTGGGCGTCGTAGACGACGCGATCTGATTGGCTCCGCCTCGAGCCAATCGCCACGAACCGTCCCATTGCTCGAGCTTCGACGACCCCATCGTCCAGTTCCCACTGACGCGTCTCTTGCTCCGACAACGCCGGACTCGGATAGTCGAGTCCGGTTGTCAGGGCGCCTGCGTCGCCTACAGCTGGTTGAGAGAGACAGCCGGGCGGCGTGGCATTGAGCGCATCTGCCGGGGGGACGAAGGCAAGGCTGGAGCCGTTTTGAAGCACTTCAGAGTAGTCGTGGAGCTCGAAGAATCGTGACAAAGTCGACTCGACTCGACGCCCGACGCCGGCCAGTCGCGTCTCGCCGTCGGGCAGACGAAACAGCCCGTACGGCAACAGCTCGACTCCGGTCAGCTCGACGCCGGTCGTCAAGTTGAAGACGCGTTCGCCGGTCTCGTCTGCCAGCCGGACGTAGCGCGAGAAGAGAGAACCGAAGCGGGTCTCGTCTGGCCTTCCCGGTTGCAACACGGCCGCGGCCAGCTTCCGGCCGTCGGCAGTGCCCACCAACTCAACGTCGCCGTCGCCGTAGCCGTCGCCGTTCATCCGCGTGCTGCTGGCCACCTGCTCGCCGGTGGCCACGTCGAAGAGGAGAGGTGAGTAGGCGGGAGGAGAAGCGTCGTCTTTGGCGACGACGAAAGCCGGCCAGTCAGA